CAGAAGCATAATTTATTTAAAGTTATTGACTTCATAGCTTGCTGCCAATGCTGTGACCTGGCGGTGGCACAACTTCATGTGAGGGTCTTCCTTGTAGCCCGTCGATGTGCCTCCATGACTGGGTGTCTAACTCCGTGGCATCCTAACTTCAAACGTCTACACCCGAGGCCTCCGTACATGTGAATAAAGATAATGATGGGAAGTCCATCTTGTTGGACACTGCTCTGAGGGCCTCCTACACTGGCCATACTCCCAACAGCCCCACGACATTGTCACTACAGTTGTCCTCATTATGGAGGAAGAAACTGTGGGACAGGGAGGTTGAGTGATCTACCCAAAGTCTTATAATCAGTAAGCGGTGGGCCTGGGATGAACTTAGACCTTCTGGCTATCCGCGTTAGGTATTCCCTGTCTTTAAGTACTAGGCAGCATGGGTTGGGTTAGGCCTTGGCCATAACTGCCATGTAGCTCTCCCCAAGGGCTTTTCCCTGGTACTGTCATATTGTTATAACCATCCCTATGCTGTGGAGGATCTCGGGTCTGGCTTCTCCTCACCCTCATGGGATCTGCTACCTCCCATGCTGGCACCCAAGGACTCATTGAGGACGGGACTGAGGTATGTCAGAGAGGAGGGAGCTTCAGAGCATTGCAGTGAACATTGTCCTCAAGACTGGAAAGGACTCTGGTGTCAGGCCTTGCCCCTGAGCCACCCAAGGACAGTCCTTCCACTTGCCTTACCCTTTTTCCTCTTCGTTTTCCTACACTGGACCTGTGGTGTTTTGAAAAAGCACATATTCAGGCGTCAACCTACATCCTGGACCTGTTACCTACTTGTTGTGTGACCTTGGCTAAATGACTTACATATTTCTGAGTTTTGGTTTTTGTTTGTTTGGGTTTTTTATCTATAAAGTAGAAATGAGAATACCTACTGTTCATTGAACCCTCATTGTGCACCAGGACTTGTATCACTGATAAACTGGGGACACTTAGTTGTGAATGAGAAAGGACTGAAGCATTGTGAGGCATGCTGATGTCTGATCCTTGCCCTACATGCTGTTCCTTTCTTTGGTTATTTCCATTATAGCTGATGTTCTTTTACCTGCTCTCAAGTGACACAAAGTTCTTGGACTTCTCTGAAGACTTTTCTGTCATCTCCCAAATGGCTGAATCTGTGCCAGGAGAATGTGACGTACATGAAGTTCGGTTTAATGATGGCACCTTCATTTATTATCACATTGCTCTTTTATCACTTTAATATCCCTTTCTCTGAATAGATTGTATATCTCTAGAAAAGCATGCAAATCATGAGTACTTAATGAGTCATGAAACAACTACATCTATGTAACCTTTGTAACCACCTTCCAATAAAGAAATAGATTATCATCACCCTAGAAGCCCTTGTTGCACCCAATCACTACCATGTTAGTCCCCTCCCAATCACTACCACTCCATCCTTTCTCTGTCTTATCTCTGTGTTGCCAGAACCCAACACAAAAACCTTTTCAAGAGGTCCAGGAATTATTTGCTAAACTCAACTGAACCCATTTGAAATCATTTTATGACCATGAGCTAGTCACATTCACTTTTTTTGTCTTGATTTATTCTTTTGCAAAATATTTCACTTGTTCTCAACCCTAGACGTACATTAGAATTGTGACAGGGGAGGGGCTGGGGACAGAGTTTTGAAGAAAATGCCCATGCCTGGATACTACTCTGGAACAACTGACTCCAATTCTCTAAAGGTGGGTCTCAGGTCATTGTTCAAGGCTACAGCCAAGATCTCTTGAATCTCACAAATTGCAAACAACACTATCCATTCAATTCTCAGTTTCTGTTATTGTAAGTGGGATTGTGTCTACCCAAAAGGCCAGGGAACATGGCCTTATTTGGAAATAGGATTGTCAAAGAGGGTCAAGTTGACTATAGTAGGGTCAGCTCTTAATCCAGCTAGACTCTGGTCCTTATAATAAAAGGGGGATTTGGGCCTAGAAACAGAGATACAGGGGAATCCCCACGTGAATATTTGGCTTATGCAACCACAGTCAAGAAACGCAAAGACCATTGGCAAACCACCAGAAGCTAGGAGAGCAGCTGCGAACAGATGTTCCCTCACAAACTAGAAGGAACCAATCCAGGGGACACCTTGATTCAGACCTCAGATCTCTGGAATGTGAAACAATTATGTTTGTTTTTTGAGTTCCTCCATTTGTGGTACTGTGTATAGCAGTCTTAGCAAATGAACACCATTACTTACAGACTAAGGAGTGCTCTTAACCTACTTCCTCATTTTAGAAGCTGGAACCATGATAACAATTCTATGTGTGGACCCTTTCTAAACCCTTTATATAGATTGCCTACTTTTGTCATCAGAGTATCCCTCTGATCCAGGCACTACTACTATCTCCATGATGGAGACTACAGCTGTGGAACATGGAGTCTAAGCAATTTGCTCAAGGTCATATGGTGACTAAATACATAAGATAAAAACATACCCTTGACCAGATTATTGGGAGGACTTCATGAGGCTGTGTAAGTGGATGTGAAGGCGTTTTATAAATTGTAAAGCAATTACAATGTTAGGATTTGTAAATTTAGGGCTTGTTTTTTGCCATCTCTGACTTCTTCCTCTTCCTACACGAGACTACCTTCTGTCGGCGATAGGGGTCGCTGTGCTGCGAGGGCACTGACAGGTCCCTCTATCCTACCGCATTGCCTGCTCGCTGGTGCCTATAAATAGCAGCTCCGGGCGCCGCCGAGCAGCAGTCTGCTGCCGCCCCCGGCGCCTGGTCCAGGTCTGCACCGATATCCGGAGCTGGACGCCGAGGAGCTGAAGCAGGGCCGGGGCGGAGCGCAGAGCCAGCTGAAGCAGGGCCGGGGCGGAGCGCAGAGCCGCGGCAGGACCGAGAGGAGGGGCGTGTTGCTGCTGGCCCTCCGCGAGCCGCCCCCAGCCCGACTCGAGGTGCCCTCCCGCCAGGCCGCCTGCCTCCGCCTTCCGCCTCCCTCCATTTCCCCGGAATCTCAGCCCGGCGCGCCTGCACCCCGGCGCCTCTCTGGGTGGGGAAGCTCCCGGTTGCTCTCTGGCTTGACTCCTTCCTCGCAGCCTGGACTCCCGGGTCCCTCTGCCCTTTACCGGAGTGGACCCCACCGCCCTCGGGTCCCTCCCTTTCGCTCGGGCTCCCTGCCCCTGCCCTTAGCCGAGTCGCAGTTCCTCAGTCACTTTTCTCAGCGTCAGGTCCCAGCCTTCCCCCTTCCTTTTCCTTGCCTGGGGTCCAGCTATCCTGCCCCTTCCTCCGCCCCTAGAGCGCCTTCTCTTTCCCCGCCCCGTCTCGCGGGCCTGGAGTTCCCGACCTTTTCGTCTCCTCCGGTGGTCCTTCCCGGGTGCCTGTCCCTCTTCCTGGGCTTGGCGTTCTGGATCGGGAACTCAGCCTCCCCGCAGCGCCAGTCTCCCGGAGGACTGCTTCCACAAATACACCTCTCAGAAACATGAACTTCTCCTAAATACTAGTCCAGCCTCCTTCCACCTGCTGACCCCTTGCTTTCTATGTCCCAGGTCTTACTCTAGCTTTGCTAAGGGTGAGGCCTTTGGGCCCGAGGGAGTGGCACCATGCTTCGGTGGCCTGGCATCTGTGGCCTGCCTCCACCGAGAATCTTGCCTTCATTGCTGGTGGTGGTAGCCTTGCTGGGGCTGCTGCCTGTCCTCAGGAGCCACGGCCTCCAGCCCAGCCCTACGGCCAACCCCATCCGAAGCTCAGAGCCGCCCCGGGAACGTTCCATCGGGGATGTCACCACTGCCCCACCGGACGTTGTCCCTGAGAGCCGCCCTGTCAACCGGTCTGTCACTGAACACAGCATGAAGACACGAAAGGTCTTTCCAGTTCTGGGCATCGACTACGACCACGTGCGCACTCCCTTTGAGATCTCCCTCTGGATCCTGCTGGCCTGCCTCATGAAGATAGGTAAGTCCAGTCTGTTCCCACGCTTCTGCCACCAAGCTGCCACCAGCTTCTGCCAAGCTGGTGAGCTGCTTGCTCCTTCCTCTCTGACTACTTGAGCCTCCCCAGGAATAAGGGTCTGGATACTTGTGATATAAACAGCGTCCAGCCTGCCGTCTTGACCCATTCCAAAGTCGAGCTCTGTGGCCTCCCAAAATTGGAGCCACAATCATGCGTGGGAAAGAGCCGGACTGCAGCATGGGGTGTTTCTGATGCTCAGTACCTTACAGCAAGGCCTCGGGGCTGGCAAATTGCCTCTGGTTGGGCCCACCCTCCAGGGAAGCCAGGCACCCCTCTGTGTATGAGACTAAGAGGAGTATCTTCCAGCAAGTGGTTCAGTCAGCTTTGTCAACAGCCACCATGCAGTGACATGCTTCATGAGATGTTCCAGGATGGGGTATATCTCTACTCAGTTGTCTGAGGAGTTTGAGTGGGGGATCTGTGCACTGGAGATTTACAGGTGTGGTGCAACATGAGGTTGTCTCCGTATTCTCACCTTCCTCCATCCCCAGAATGTTACCTGACAACTTTGCCTGGGCAAGCTGGTTGGGAGCCCCTGAGTCAGTTTCTGGCCCAGGAGTGCCATTCCCTGTACAGTATGTGGGACAGCTTATAGGGTGGAGGGGGAATTTCGAAGATTGAAGCTTGGTCAGACCCCAGCTCACCTCCAAGTTGGCACCCAGCAGAGTCTGTGCTGTCTGGGCTGGGGAGTGGAGGTGGCCGGCTGCTCGGCCATGTGGAGAGGAATAAGTAGAGGGACTGTGGATGTTCTGATCTGAAAATTCTTTGAAACACTCTTTTTAGAAAGAAACAGAAAAGTTGTCCCCTTTCAGGCCTAAGCATTCTGCTCTGTAGTTGATTGATGGCATTTACAGGAGCCCATGTAGCCCAGAAGACCCTGGAAGTGGTGTCCAGGGGGCTTTGAGAGCTGTCTTTGCTTTTCTTAGTCCCCAGTTGAGCTGTGGAAGGCATAAGGGCCTGGGACTCTGCTGGTTGGGGCTTGGGGAGTTTGTGACTCCTGGCAGCAAGCCCTGCAGCTTTCCCAAGGACACCCAGGAGCTGAGTGGTCATGCCGGCCGGTGTGAGACAGGCTCTGGAACGTGCTGCAGGAGAGCAGGGGGCCTCTGTTTCCAGAGACCTGGGAGCTGGCTTCCCGGTGTGGGGCTTTGGTGCTGTGACAATAACAGGCCCCTGCCTGGAGCTGGGCCACCAGCACCAGCATCCTGATGGCAACCATCTTCCTGGGAAAAATCAAGGACTGGGCAAGGGGAGCCATGTGTACTGATTCCGATGAACACATGACCTTGAAAAGCTGGGGCCTTATGCTGCAGGTCTCACCCATCTGCAAAACTGGCAAGATTCTCTAAATTTGACCATATCAGTTGAGTCATGAAACTGTGTGTCTTACTTTGTGGTAAGAAGCTTAATTTGTTATAAGTGATCATGATGTGTCATTTGCCTGTGTGAGACCGGGAGGGGACCTCACAGCACTGTCTATAAATTGCCTTCCTCTCTCCAACCTCCTTACCTCCCCGCACACCTGGCATTTGTGTTAGGACGTTGGGGGCTGGTACACACTGCATGTCTTGGTGCCTTCTAGTGGGGTGACAGCTTGACGACAGAGACCCTCCCTTGGGCAATCAGGAGCCTGACCTCTAAGAGAGGGCTCAGGTTCACACTGCTCTGTGCCTGCCAGAACCTGTGTCCAGGACCCTGAGCATCTGGAGGACGGAGATGGTGCCATGGCTGGGGGCTCAGTCTAGACTAAGTTAGGAAACTTGGCTTCTCACCCCACTACCCTCTGTGACCTTGAGCCAGTCTTACCTCTCCATCTGTCAGGTGGGCGTTGTGGCCCCTTCCAGAGCCGACATTTCTGCCATCCCACCGACTTGGGTAACTGGCGAGGCACTCAGCCTCGTACCTCAGTTTTCCCATCATAAAATGAGGATATGATGTTCCAAAAGTCTGGCTCGGGAAGGCATTTCTCTGCCTCTGAAAACAGGCTCTGGCCATCCTGGGGGAGAGGGTGGAGGGAAATGAACACCAAAGATCTCAAGGTCCTTGTTCAGAAGGTGAAAGCAAAAACCCATGTCCGCCCCCCCCCACCTTTGCAGTGAAACTGAGTGTCAGTAAGCTTCCTATCATGCTGTCCCCTGACCTCTCCGAGCCTCAGTTTCCTCACGTATGAGAAGGGGAAATAACGCTAACAGACAGCAGCGCTGCTGGTGTGAGGCAACGTGAATGAAAGCACGGAAAGCTGAAGTTACTGCCCACGAGTGGGAGCTGCCCAGCGGCACTTTGACCGCCTAAGGCAGCGCACCCTACCTCAGCCTTCCAGTCTCCCTCTGAGGCTAGAGGCTCTCTCAACCCCAGGCTGCTCCTGGCCGTGCTTAAGACTTGAGGGTGTGGGACTGTTCCTCCTTCACTTAAACTGCCTCTAGGCTTGTCCTGGAGGTGGAGGGGGTAGGGGGGAAAAGGTGGCACCAACTGACTTAAGAGATAGGGTTGGGGGGCTGCGTGCTCCCCCTGCAGTGTCAGATACCCCAGCAGTAGGTATCTGACATTTGGGGGCTCAGCCTGCTCGCTCAGGGCCCAGCGTGGGTAGGAGCTATGTCAGAGGCCTCATCTGTCATCTCTGGCAGCCGCTTCCCTTGCCAAGTTCCCCTCCTTTCAGAATAGAGTGCTGTGCTCAGTTCTCATTCCCTTTCATTGAGCAGAGCCTCAGGTAGGTGCTGGAGGCAGGGGACCTGGGAGGGGGGGGAACGGCAGGGCTAGAGCTGAAGTTCTAGAACACTTCTGGGTTCACTTCCGCCTGACTCAGTGGGTGGCACAAGGCATGTCTGGGCCTTTTTCCTCTCTCTGACAGACCAAGTTCCTTGCCTGTTCCTAGGCAGGGAGGGCTAGTGGCATGAGGAATTAGAGTCTTGGGAGCGCTGTGAGGTCTCCAGGCCCCTCAGGTGACGTCCACTCCCCACTTTGGGGTTTGAGTTTTGCTTTGTCCCCAGCTCACCTGCCTGTCAGTCCAGTGCCTGCCACAGGGGCAGGCCTCACTATGACCCCGCTCACCACTGGCAGCCCCTGTGCTTGTTTGTTCATGTCTCTGACCTGGAACCTCCTGGCAGAGGCCTGGGAGCCCATAAAGCAGGTATTCTCCTGACCAGCCACAAAAAAAGCCTTCCTTTGTCCCTTTACACCTTAAGGCTGTTTCGTTTTGGTCTTTGCAAGGCCTGTCCTGCCATTTCTCCCCTAGAACCAGCCGGGGAGGAGGCGATCATCCACTGCACATGCATGGCTATCAGGCCAGCCACTGGTTTCCTGTGGCCACTCATTTACACGCCTCTCCCACTTCTCAAAAGAAGACAGCTTAAAGGTCACTTTGAAACTATCTCAAGAAGCCCAGATGGGACTCTCTTAAAAGAAAGAGGTGACCTTTTTCTTTTTGGAAAAATAACTAAGTAAATGCAGGGCAGTGGGTGGGAGAGGTCAGCTGGGGCCTGGGTGGACGTCTCCTGGTGGGACTTGTGTCTTCGAAAGCTCCAGGTTACTTAGAGGCCTTGGTTGGTCATGTTGCCTGAACATTCAGCTGGGTGCCCTTGGGGCCCGCCTTTTTCTCATCCCCGCCCCATCCAGCCCTGCCAGCTCTGGTGGAAAAGAAAGACTAGATCAGAAAGCTTGGCTTCTGACCCTGCCCCCCAGTTCCCACATGACCATGGGCCAGGCACCCCACTTCTCTGCACCTGACTTGCCTTATCAGTGAGACGCTGTCTCCCTCTTCCAGGACTGATGTCGAGATGGAGCCTGGGAATGTCTACACAGTGCTCAGCTTTGTGGGCAGCTTGCAGGGCCTGGCCACAGGCCTTTCCCTTTGGACTGTCTTCCCAGCCCACAGAAGTTGCTTTCACTTCTCCCTCGAACCCGCTTCCCTATTGTTCATCCACAACCTTGGCATTAGGCCTCGCCTGCCCTGTGACATCTCTTCTGTTGACATGTCTGTGCGTGTGTGAATAAGAATTACCACTTACTGAGTGGCTACAGAGTAGTAGCAGGCATTTTATAGAAGTAATCTCATTTAATCCTCTTCTAAAATCATCTGAGATAAAAGCTCTCTGTTTTGAAGATGAGGAAATAATTCTAAGATTGCTGTGTGTTTCTCTGTGCGTCTTGCCTTGGCTCCTCCAGGGCTGCAGCAGCATGTTCTGCCCGTCACACTCCCCTCTGCAGGTGTCCTGAGGAGGCGCCCAGCACTCTGCACCCGGCATTGGGAATTTTAGGGGCTGCCAGGCTGCAACGTGGGCCCCTTCTCCCTGCCTGGGATAGCTGTAGGTTCTGTACCAGCTCAGGGCCCATCTCGTCCCTGTGCGTCTGCAGGGGTGCACCTTGGTCCCACACTGGCCAGGTCTACCCCTTATCCTTGGATGGTGGCCCTGCCCGCCCTCTGCCCTGCTGCTGGTGCCCTCGTGGTGGTTGGGCAGCGCGTACCCTCTGCCTGCACAGGGAGTGCCAGCTAATGAGTGGTTTCCTACAGCCAGCAGAGGGTGGCGAACTTTGGGATAATGATCTGCCTCTGGGACTGGGTTGCTTTTGGTTTCCTGCAGGGCCCAGCAGGGTTCTGAGAGGGAGCCTTTGTGTCAGGGCCAGTAGCCCAGCCTTCTTGTGCCCTGTAAGGCAAGCAGAACTTCCTAGTAGTTCATTTGTTTCCAAAACACTGGCACATGCAGTGCTTAATTCTGATCTTCTCAATGGTCCTGCAGATTCAAATTGCAGATAATATTGATGTGTCCATTTAACATCCAAGGAAACTGAGTCTCAAGGTGTGACAGTGCCCGAGTCCCTCACAAGGAAGTGGCAAAGGATCAAGTCCTGGGCTTTTTAAATCCAAGGTCCGATCCTCTTTCTTGCCTGACTGACTTGCTGGGTCATTGCAAGGACCACGGAGAGTTGGTGATTCGAAGGGACTTTGAGGA